CATACGTCCATTGAGAACTGAGTAGATACATACGTCCATTGAGAACTTAGCGTATACATACGTCCATTGAGAACTGAGTAGATACATACGTCCATTGAGAACTGAGTAGATACATACGTCCATTGAGAACTTAGCGTATACATACGTCTATTGAGAACTTAGCGAATACATACAGCCATTGAGAACTTAGCGTATACATACGTCCATTGAGAACTTAGCGTATACATACGTCCATTGAGAACTTAGCGTATACATACAGCCATTGAGAACTTAGCGTATACATATACGTCCAGTGAGCAGTACACCAAAGATAAAGCAGCTGACAGACTTCCAACTACCATACACCAATCAGACGTAACAACTCAGCACGTTTCATGGTAGGCAGCTTGTTGTGTTTAAGATCAGAGGAAGAAAACAGGAATGTCAAATGTGCATGAAGAAGAAAGTAATGCTTCTTTTCGTAAACTGCCCCAACAATGTGTGTCTTCACGCATTTTGGAATAACCAGAACGCCCCCCCTCCCCACCCCACCACACTCCCCCAGGCCAAACTAAAACTCGTGTCCCCCACAGTAACATTCTCAAGTAGACGTACTACCACCTGCGTGGCTCACCCACATTCTCAGACAAGTAGACATACTACCACCTGCGTGGCTCACCCACATTCTCAGACAAGTAGACGTACTACCACCTGCGTGGCTCACCCACATTCTCAGACAAGTAGACATACTACCACCCGCGTGGCTCACCCACATTCTCAGACAAGTAGATGTACTACCACCCGCGTGGCTCACCCACATTCTCAGACAAGTAGATGTACTACCACCCGCGTGGCTCACCCACATTCTCAGACAAGTAGACATACTACCACCCGCGTGGCTCACCCACATTCTCAGACAAGTAGATGTACTACCACCCGCGTGGCTCACCCACATTCTCAGACAAGTAGATGTACTACCACCCGCGTGGCTCACCCACATTGTCAGACAAGTAGACGTACTACCCCTGGCGTGGCTCACCCACATTGTCAGACAAGTAGACGTACTACCACCCGCGTGGCTCACCCACATTCTCAGACAATCTCACAACAACGCTTTTTGGGGTTTAAAAAAATAATTTCGAGTGCTATAACACACGTTGTGGAAAAAAGAAAACAAGGACATGGGAAACAGACCTGCATAAGTCTGAGACATTTCTGAAACCGTAACGGACATGATCAACAACACGCTAGCCCTAGCGGCGACAGACTCACATTTTTCCCGTGGTTGTCCTTGCCCACCCCACACAGCACCGCTCCCTTGGCCGAGAAACTGAAATGGAAGAAATCAACAAATTTACACACAGGAACAACTCTGTCTGAGAATGCCCTAAAAGGACATCTGATACTTGTTTTATAGTTTCTGTAGAGGTTTTACGGCGCTCGCAACTTGATACTTGTTTTATAGTTTCTGTAGAGGTTTTACGGCGCTCGCAACTTGATACTTGTTTTATAGTTTCTGTAGAGGTTTTACGGCGCTCGCAACTTGATACTTGTTTCATCAAGGTGTGGCTGATAGGTGCAGTGTTGTAAATGTATATCATTGGATGAATCATTTTGATGAATTAGCCTGTAAATGTATGTCATTGGATGAATCATTTTGATGACACACCCTGTAAATGTATGTCATTGGATGAATCATTTTGATGAATTAGCCTGTAAATGTATGTCATTGGATGAATCATTTTGATGACACACCCTGTAAATGTACGTCATTGGATGAATCATTTTGATGAATAAGCCTGTAAATGTATGTCATTGGATGAATCATTTTGATGAATTAGCCTGTAAATGTATGTCATTGGATGAATCATTTTGATGAATTAGCCTGTAAATGTATGTCATTGGATGAATCATTTTGATGAATTAGCCTGTAAATGTATGTCATTGGATGAATCATTTTGATGACACACCCTGTAAATGTATGTCATTGGATGAATCATTTTGATGAATAAGCCTGTAAATGTATGTCATTGGATGAATCATTTTGATGAATTAGCCTGTAAATGTATGTCATTGGATGAATCATTTTGATGACACACCCTGTACAGCAAATAATTATACCAACATGAACTCATGGAATAGCTCCCATCTGTGTACAGCTTACTGCAAGGAACAATATATTTTCAGCATTTCAGGAATTAATTTCCAGAAGGAAAAAATAAATCTTATCAATTCTAGAGGTCACACACCTGCTTGCTATATCTCTCTCTCTTTCTTTTTTTTTTTTCATTCTCTCTCTCCTATCACTCTTTCTTTCTTTCTCTCTACTCTTTCTGACTCTCTACCTCTTTCTCTGTCTCTTTCACTACCTCTCTCTCCCTCTCTATCTCACACAACACAAACGCACTAACACACACACACACACACACACACAAACACAACACACACACACACACACTCACCTCAGACAGGACAAAGAGTGCACATGCACCTTCCCGATGGCCAGACACTCCCCGGTGGAAAACTTCCACACCCTCACCGCACTCATCTGACCTGTTTGTCCGCTCGCCACCAGCCCGCCACTGGACGTCATAGACAGGCACGAAACCTGGCACGTCCGCATCACAACGAGAGAATGAGAGAAAGACACAATGACACAACGACATAATGAGAGCAATTTCCTCAACGTGTGAAAACTACAGTCCAACCTGCCCAACAGGACCAGCCAATGTGGAGGAGAACAGAGGATATGTTATGTGATGTGTGTTATTGTGGAGGAGAACAGAGGATATGTTATGTGATGTGTGTTATTGTGGAGGAGAACAGAGGATATGTTATGTGATGTGTGTTATTGTGGAGAGGAACAGAGGATATGTTATGTGATGTGTGTTATTGTGGAGAGGAACAGAGGATATGTTATGTGATGTGTGTTATTGTGGAGAGGAACAGAGGATATGTTATGTGATGT